AAGACCACATGGATCATCTAGTCCAACTCCCTGCCATATATGACAAGCACAATCAAAACACCCCTGAAAGATGGCCATCAAGCTTCTTTTGAAAGCTTTCAAGGAAGTAGCTTCCACCAGGCTCCAAGGCAGATAATTCCACTGTTGAACTGCTCTCAGGCCCCTTCAACACTGCCATATAATACAGATTATGAAAACAGATAATCCACACTATCTGCTTTGAAGTGGATTATATGAGTCTACACTGCCATATAATCCAGTTCAAAGCAGATAATCTGGATTTTATGTGGCAGTGTAAAAGGGGCCTCAGTGAGATGACTATTTCTGTTAGTCACTGTGCACAGATTAGCAAAGAGCTGTGTCTCTGCTAAAGAACTGTGACTCTTCATTAAAGTTGACGAAATAAAGTGATGACTAACTTTTCTTATAGTAATCACAGAGGTTGAAGATATTTTTTTCATTACAACTCCCAGAGTCCTCTAATCTGGGAACTGTGGTTTATAAAAAGTGACTTTTCACAGTGTGGAAGTAGATCATTGAATTGTGTGATATATAAAAGTGTAAAGTTGCTTTCTGGTTTCTTTTTTAATTTAATAATTTTTGGAAACATTTGTGGTAAATATTTTCACAACATTGCTATAGTACAAGTAACAACAGAAATGGCTGAAACTAGTAATACAGATTTTGAACCACCACAATGGCTATATAGATTATTGGGTGGGTTTTCACTATAGTTGCATGTACAGACATTTTTTTTTCAAAAAGGATTCTGCCTTCAGCACAACAAACTTTCTTCAAAGCAGAATATATTCCATTAACATTTCAGAGGTAATTTATAGGCTTGCATCCTTGTGTATTACTTTTCAGATGTTAGGATGTTTATGCTCAACCAGCCCTTTGAAAGTTTATGACAAGTAATGATACAGTTGTCATTTTCTGTATCACATTTCAATCCCACCCCCACAATTGTGTGTGAACACACATGTATGCACGTCTGAGGCTTAAATACCATGCTGCATAATACATCTCAAGAAAGTGGATTATATTCTGTGAAAGTTTATGATAAAATAAAACTTTATTCTTAAAGATGTTGCAGCGAAGACCTTTCTTTCATTTTCTTTCTTGCACATAAACACACACCTTCCCCTTGCTTTTCATTCATCCCTCATCCATTTTCTGTCATGTAGGCTTTCCAGTTCAGAATCATCCCAGGCTCTCAGTTTTCAAAGCCAAAAGCTAAAACTTGGCAATGCCATACTAGTAAGCATTGGGCATTAAGTACTTACTTGCTTGGAAAGACAGGATGAGGAACTTTTAATCTATCGTGCTTTCTTCTAGGCAGAAGGTGCATACAGAGCAGAGTGGATGGGGAGCCCTGGAGCCACAGTGACTGGGAGAAAAGGAGGAAACTAACTAAGTAAATACTAGTGCCTAGAGCCTCTCCTCAGCTCGTTTGAAGTTACATCAACAATTCAGTTTTAGCTTTATGGGTTTTACCAAGCTGCTAGCTGAGATGAAGATTCAAACATGATCCTTCCTTGTGCCAAAACGTAAGAAGTTGCACCTTCATCTTCCACTTGAAGACGATCTACAAAAGCTGGAAACTCAGGGCCTAACATCACAAGTCAAGACAACCTCCTGCTCTTTTTTCATTCTTCTATCTTTCTCTTCCTTCCTCTCTTCATCCATGTACATTTTCACATACACTAGCAGTAGGAATCATGCAGACTTCCAGATGCTGAACCACACCTTCTAGCCTTCTTCATCGCTGATGAAGTCAATTATGACTGATGGGAATTACAGTCCAAAAAAATGGTAGGGTTACACATTTCCCACCCTGACTTGCAAACCTTTTAAACCACTGTTGCTCATTCTCATACTCTCTCTTCTCTCCCCGCCGCCCCAACACATATAATCACTTCCTTGATACCATAGGATTTCTTGGATCAATCCATTCAGTTGCCATTATGATTGCTAGCTTGCACTTGGTACAGTGCTGGAGATTCATATGGAAAATCCTTTTCCTAATCTGTGATCTGGGTTAACAAAGAAAAGACTATACTTTCCATGGATGTATGGAAATGCCTACTGTTCCACTTACAGAGGGTGCTAATGCCCAATTTTTCATATTTTTTCCTTCCAAAGGCATTCCCATGAGGAGGTTGCATATTCAGACTCAAACATTTTAAGGCGTTAGGATGGGCAGACAAGCAGGGAGATGAGAAGCAAGAAAGTCAGCCTCTGCCCATCCTTTCCCACTGATAAGATGCTTAGGACCAACCTGCAGTCTGGTATTTTGGACTTTTATATTGTTAGTGCCATGTTTTATGGCACACCCCAAGCCCTCCAAATAAGCAATAACACAATATTAAACAACACAAGGTACAGTTGTTTAATCATCTGCCAGTTGATGAATCAAAAGGGGATTATTTCTCTCCAAATACTAATTCTCCCCACCCATCATGAAATTTTGCTCAAATTTCTAGCACTGCAGTAACCAAAAATTTGAGCATTTAGCAGTGTGGTTTTGAGATACATTTACCAAGGGAAAAGAAAATAATTTTGGGTGTGAAAGATTTCGACTCTCTCTCTCTCTCTCTGCAATGCTACAAATTGGGGGACCAGAGGAAGATTTCATTGGAGGGGCAGAATTCCCACTTGGGGACATGCCCTCATTTTGCCCTCCTTCCAAAGATATCCTCCTACCTCGCTGTTTATTCTTTGTCCATCTTCTTAAGGTTCGTGCCTGTCACAGCTATCATTTGTGGGACCATCACTGTTTCCACCAATTTTGTTGCTTTCTTTTTAGAGAGATTGGTCCAAGATCTCTTTAAGTGAGGTGCCCACATTTTATCACCTTCCTGGAGTGTTTGTGCGTGCGCTTGTGTGTGTGTGTGTGTGTGTTATTTCAGGCTGTCTTGTTGTCCTTGTGCTTTGTGCCTTCTTAGAGTTTAAATTAGCAGAGGATGCCCCCCCCCAAAAAAAAAACCAAACAGAGGAAGCCCCATTTATGAGCAAGACAGTAAGGAAAGATATGCTTCAATTTTCTTAAGTACTGAAGTTTCCCAGATTTTTCTGCAAAATCCTGTTCACTCCCAAGAGAAGGTTGTACATTATCTGCATTGAAACAGCAATGGTTTTGTGATAATATTGCCTTCCTTCCTCCCTCCTTCTGTGGGCTAACATGTATTACTAGGGTTTATGTAACCCTGTTGTCATCACAATGGTTTTCACAAACAGGAATAGGGTTTCCTAATGCCTATGAACTACATAAACCCTAGAGGGATTGTTTTTTAAAGATATAACAGATGGGACAGTCTTAGAAAGGAACTGTAGGAAGGAAATCTAGGCAATATAGTACCAAGGTACTGAAGTGCTATATTTATTTATTTATTTATTTAATTTCTGGTGTTTGTACCCTGTTACTTCTCTGGACGGCTCAGGACGTCTTACAATGAGCACCGATACGATGCCACTACATAACAATTACAATAATAAAAATAACAATTAAACATAAATCATAATTAAAACAATACATCAGCAATCATTAAAACAGTAAAACAGTCTCATCAGCCGTATCGCCCTTTCAGTCAATGTCCCTCTAAAGTGCTACATACATTTACTCTCTGAAAGCCTGGTCCCAAAACCATGATTTTAATTTTTTTTTCTGATATGAAAAATATAGCGTGTATCTATGTGGTGTAGCTATACATTGTCATTAATGTTGATGGCACCCTGTTGATTTTCAATCCAAAGAAGGCTGCTGAAGAAATTATTCAAATTTTAGAGCTTTGGAAAAGTTCATTTTTGAACTTCAAACTTTCAGAACAGCCCAGTGTATATGTTGGCTGGAGAATTTCAGGAATTACGATTTTCAAAAAAACCTCCAAAGTTTTCACTCACTCCTTGTAGCCAACATGTTATACTGGCCGCAGTATACAGATAGTTGGAGGTGAAGGGCGCACTGGTCCAGAAGCAGGAAGGCAACAAGGAGCATGAAAAGTTGAGCTCTATGTATTCTGCCTACATGATCGGACTGAAGATATAAAATGAAGAGCTAGTCTTCTTCTTGTCACACAGCCGAATCCCTGATTTTTTTCCTGTCCAATGTGTCAAAATAGAGAGTAGTATTAAATCTTCAGCGAGGGCTTCATAAGGAGAGCATTTCACAAATTGAAATCTGCCAAGATTTTATTATACATCTTAAAAAAAGGAAAAAGAGGAGCATAACAAATCCGCTATCATTGTGCCACTACCAAAAAGACCTAGTCTCTTGTACTACCTGCCTGATGTAAGTGGCTGTCTTTGAAGAAGAAGAATATTTTGAAGAAAATATGGATATTGCTCTTTTTTGTGTCATGAGTGACTTGAGAAATTGAAAGTTGCTTTTGGTGTGAGAGAACTGGCCATTTGCAAGGACATTGCCCAGGGGATACCCAGATGTTTTACCATCCTGTGGGAGGCTCCTCTCATGTCCCTGCATGGGAAGCTGGAGCTGACAGACAGGAGCTCACCCCGCTCCCTAGATTTGAACCAGCAACGTTTTGGTCAGTGGTCCTGCTGGCGCAAGGGTTTAACCCATTGCACCACCGGGGGCTCCTGTATATGGCTGTAACCACCACTGTCAAGACCAGTCTCAATTGCTGGTCAGGTTTATACATGAGCAGGCAATTTCACATGATTTCAATTACATCTGTTAGTGAAACACTATGAAGTTGATGTCCAACTATATTCGGATTTAACATTTATATAATGGAAGAATACTTCATTTTAAAGGGGGGGGGGATAATTTTGGGAAGGAGATGGAACTATTCTCAGATCTCAAAGAAAGATTGTCCTCTAGTTATGAGGGGCAGAAACTCTAATTTCTACTGAACAAAAGAGTGTTCCCTTCCTAGTCCTGCTTAATTTTTTAGGCATTAGGAATAGCATAATATGGAGACAGGCTCTAAGGCAAAGGTCTGTTTTGCTTACTTAGTAACTTGAATTTCTTTTCCCAGTTCATCCATCACAGGAGCCTGGATGGTTGGAAGGAACCTTGAATGGAAAAACAGGATTGATCCCTGAGAACTATGTGGAATTCCTATAACTCCAGGCACATTCGTAAACAACACTGCTGAGCTTTACATGGTATCCATGACGACTGCTGATGAACGTATTGTAGATCGTTTGCTGTTTGCCGCTGTGAAAAGCAAGGTGAAGGACTCCGCTACCTGTTCAGATGAATGTTTATGTAAATAACAACGTATGTTTCCTCTTATGAAATGTGTTGTTTGTGCAAAGACACTGCAGAAAATGGAAGAGTCGAAGGACAGGAGGTGGGAGTGCTGCAGAGGCTACTAAGTTCTCCTGCAGAAGGTTTGCACCTATTTTTTTTGAAAAAAAATCACATTTTGTCCTAGAAAGTAGGAAGTCCATAAGATGTGTGTAAATGTGCCTGAACCAGCATGATGGCTTCACCCAAGTCTCTCTTTCATTGGAACGCCTTACAAAAGAAGTGATTGCAAAATTGAACCCCTTGAGCTGGCATGCGGGGAAGATGGAAGGAATATAAGGTTGGAAACACTGGCCGTCAAAAAGAAAGATCTAATTTGCCAGAAGGAAAACATGTCTGTTCCTTTTATCCTGAGCGGGTGAAAGCAATGGCTGTATACATTAAGCCACTGACTAATGGCTTTCATCTGCAGAGATTAGCCAGCCTTGACAGGATTCATCCATTGTCAACGCATTAATAATTCCATTGATGAGATCTGCATTGCTACACACACCAACAAGGATGCCAGCAGTTGCATTACGGTAATGCTTTTTAAATGATTTTAATATTCAGACAAGACATGCAGCAGAAGCTGAATGCTTCTCACCATTTGCATAGCAGCTGCTATTTCATATAACTGTCAGCAACATGAAGACAATAATATTTTGGACCAAAGTTTGTGAAGACTTTTTTTTAAAGTGGAAGATTCTGACATAAATCTAGGCAATCTCTTCCTTTCTGGAGGTCTAGGAGTAGGTCGTATAATGTAGCACATAGACCGTTGGACTTTTGGTCTTTCCGTTGTCACTTACTAGCACAAGGTTTTAGAAACAAGCACTCCCAACCTGTTGTGCACGGCGTCTTTCTTTTTTCTTGGACGTGAACTATTTTCTGTCACACACAACAGTTAACTTTCTGGTGTGTTGTCTGATGCTTACTTTGTAGGCTGTACTGGATGTGGTACTTGCCCTACACAGTCAGCTTGCACAAAAGCTTGTATTTATTGTGTAGCTGAGTGAAATGCAAACACTGAAGTACACACATGCACAAGATGTTAGGAGTTGTGTTATTCACTCTTCATTCATGATGATGCCTTTCAGTGATGCCTTTCATGGGGTAGACTTGCCCATGTCCTCAACTGCTCTCAAAGTGTTTTGTATATTATGCTCTATCGCTGTAGATCTTACAGGGGAGAATGACATGCCAAACTTTCCAAATGATCAAGCTTGTGTTTTGTTTTTAAAATACAAAGTTTCAGCTGGGAATTTCACAGCTGACCCATCTGCAGAAATAGCAGTGGGTGCTTTCTGAAGGACTGTGCCCATTTTGGCCCTTACCTTCAGTACGCTCATACATTTGTGATTATCAACTTTGTTTCTGCTTTAAAATGTACTTTCTAATTTAATCTTTCAATTCTTGCGTGGTCCCATTGGTGTACGTTTCACTGACCATTTGTTTCGAAATTGAGATGTAAATATGGTTGATTTGAAATATTGTGAAGTAAATGGGTTTTATATATTCTGATTTTTAACAGAAGTGTAATAAATGACATATTCAGTGGACATTCGAAACCTGTTTAACTGGAGATGTAGAGGCAAGCACAAATACAACATTTGAGAAAACAACCTTTCCTGCCCTCCTTCATTTGCCCCCCCCTTTCTATAAGGCAGCTGGCAGTCTCTTTTGCACATCTATAATGTTTATTAATGAATTCTTCCTAAGCAACTTTGAAAGAAAATAGATGCATCTCCTTCTTGTGTTTTGTTCATTTTAAAGCTCTGGTGTTTATTGAAGAAATATATACATATATTATGCAGTGTACATCTCAGATTAAAACGAATTAGATTTGAGCTTGTTGCTAAGGACTTTCTTGACACTTGGACACTCCCTCACAAATAATTCCATGATTTGGGAGTTGGGGTGGTGCTGGGTACATACAAGTACATACATTATAGTTTGGGGTTTTTTTCATGTCAAGAGTGACTTGAGAAACTGAAAGTTGCTTCTGAAGTGAGAGAGTTGGCCATCTGTAAGGACGTTGCCTAGGGGACGCCCGGATGTTTGATGTTTTTTTACCATCCTTATGAGAGGCTTCTCTCATATCCCTGTATGTGGAGCTGGAATTGACTGAGGGAGTTCAACCCACTCTCCCCAGATTTGCACTGCTGACCTGTCAGTTAGCAATCCTGTCGACACAAGGGTTTAACCCATTGTGCCACTGGGGGCTCCATACATCATAGTAATAGAATACCTTGCCAGACACTGGTCCTGAAAAAATATTGTTGGTATTATACCATGCCTTTCTCCCTGGATGGGACTCAAGGCAGCTTACAGTGATTTGAAACAAGATTCAGTTAATTTTATTTTGTTGTTCTTGTTGTTTTGATTTGACTTCAGAACTTTTCTGCCTTGTGGGGAGCGTAATCATGGCAAGATTTCTTCAGATAATTTGCATTGTTCCTCCTCTGTGTCTGAGAGAGTGACTTACCCAAAGTCCCCAGTGTGTTTCCATTTCCGAGTAGGGATTCAAACCCGGTCTCCAGAGCTGTAGTCCTAACACTCGAACCACTGCACTACGCTGGTTGTCAACACTACACTGGCTTTCCTGTCAATCTTTATGCTATAGAAATGTAAATCTTTTTTTTACATTTTTAAATAAAAAACAGTTAAAAACACATTTAATAACAGTTAAAAACTAATTTAAAACATAATTACAAAATAAAAGATTTTTTTAAACCAGCCAAACATTTTACAAGCACTTGAATTGTTGTTGTTTGCCTTCAAGTCCTTTCAAACTTAGGGCAAGGCTATCACAAGGTTTTCTGGGGTGCAAATGCATTCCTTGGCCAAGTAGGAAATTGAACCTTGGTCTTCAAAGCTGTCGTCCAGTGCTCAAACCATTACACTACACTGACCATCTGCACCAGCACTTCTGCAACATAACGTCAATCTAAAGACCTGCCTGAATAAAAAAAATCATCTGTGGGTGGAAAACGTGGACTGAGCCCAGAAGCAAACAGGTACCTAGCAAAGTTGTGTTTTTTAAGGGGGGAGCACATGATTCCTGTATTCAGCAGTGAGCAACGGCCTGAACTCAGTATTTTGGAACCACTGAAGTTTCCAAGGTCAGCCTCTTTGAGAGTGTGTTACAGTTCTCTAAACAGGATGTAATCAAGGCATGCATTCCCATGGCCAGATCTGATATCTCCAGGAATGGGCAGTGGGCACAGCTTTAATTGTTCAAACACACTCCTGACCCAGCCAATCAGTTGCATCCAGACTCAGTTCTGAGTAGAGAAACACAGCTAAGCTACAGACCTGAAATTTCAGGGGGAGTTTAACGCCATCCAGAATATGCTGAATCCCTGCTCTCAATCTACCGTACTATAATATAATATAATATAATATAATATAATATAATATAATAATAATAATAATGCTTTATTTGTATTCTGTCCTATCTCCTAGAGAGGACTCAGGGCAGATTCCAATATAACAATGGAAATAATAATAATAATAATAATAATAATAATAATAATAATAATAGATTTATATTCTGCTCTATCTCCCCGGAGGGAATCAGGGCGAACATAAAAGACAAACATTCAATGCCCAAATACAACAATATATCCATACTAACAAAATTTAAACAACCCAACATATAAACAAAAAATATGACTTAACTAAAATCAAATAAAAATACAGCCCGTGATAATAGACATAAGACAAGACATCAAACATTGAATAGAAACAACAATTTCCCAGTCCCTTGGCAAACATTCAATGCCTTCGTAAAACAAACAAATATGAGCCATGGGCACCCTGATTTGTCTGGATTAAGTTTGAATTTGTTTGCTTCCATCCAGTCTATTACTGAAATCAGATACTGATTTAGTACAGAGATAGCTTCTTTGAAATAAGTTTGAAAGGAGAGATTTGGTTGAACATCATTGTCCTGGTAACACCAGACCACAAAACTCTGGACAACTTCTTGCATTGGTTCTATGTAGATATTAATCAGCATGGGTAATAGCACTGAATCTTGGACAGGAAGTCAAACAGCACCATCTTCAGAATTCATGCCTTGAAAAAGGACCAGAGTCACCATAGAACAGTGTCTCTGACACCCTTCCTAGAGAAGTAACCCAGAAGGATGCCACAAGTGATGGTATAAAAAGCTGCTAAGAGGTCCAGCATACTCAGCATGGATACATTTCTCAGCACAAGTTGTCTGCCAAGGTGATCAAAGGTCTCTTTGTTTCATAGCCACACATAAATACAAATTAAAATGGCGGTAGTGAAATTGGTCTCATCTAACCAGGGGGACCATTATAAACTCCAGAACCTTGCCCAAAAAAAGGAGTATTGGAGACTGGCCAATCTTTGCCTAATATGATGGAGTCAAAGGAAGAGTTTGTTAAATAATGGACCCACTACAACCTCTTCTAGACAAGAGGAAAAAGAGCTGTAAAAGTTCTACCACACTCAAATAACCATTATCTCACCCAGCACAAAAAGTGTGACCCACATTATGGGTGGCACTAAATACTACTTGGAACAGACCCATGGTTCTCATGAAGGACATGAAGTCCCGAGCCACTCCCAAGGACAGGATTCTGTCCTTTAGATGACACAGGACAGAGAAATACAGAGATCAGCAATATCTGATGGCAAAAACCTGGCCATGCCCTTTCCATCTTCAATATCTGGCACCATATGAATTCTAGGGAGAAATAAATGTGGAGTGTCAGCTCTTTCAACTTCCATCTTATATTTGGAAAAAGCAACTAACTGGAAATGAAGCTCCAAATGTCACAGTCTCTGGATGATAGATGTGTCATTATTTCTTCTCCATCACCTCTCTACTATCCACCGTGCTTACTAGAACAGAATGCTTGAGGCACAGACTAATATAGTTAATATTTCAAGACTTGAGGTCTGTCCCTTAAAACCTGGTGAGGTATTTCCTGGATAATTTGATAGGTAATACATTATGTAGGAAATAGAAGAGACAGCATATCTGATTCTTGCATTAAAATATGCTGGTTTTTATGGGGAGATGTTTAGCCTGGAGAAGAAAAGGTTAAGAGGTGACATGAGAGTAATGTTTAAACATTTTGAAGAATCTCATATTGAAGATGGACCCAGCCTATTTTCTGCTGCCGCATAGACAAGGACACAGAGCAATTGTTTCAAGCTATGTAAAGAGAGAGAGAGATTGAGATTGATTTCAACAAAATATTAGAACTTCCTGATGGTAAGAGATGTCTGACAGTAGAATACCCTGTTGCCTCCAAGTGTCATGGAGTCTCCTTCTGAGGTTTTTAAGCAGAGGGTGTTGGGAGTGTTTCAATTGTGTATTCCTGTATAACAGAAAGGAAAGGGTCTAGATGGCCCTTGTGATTTCTTCCAACTCTAGGATTATGTGTAAACAGATGTGGACACAGGACAGATGTTTGAACAATGAGAAACAAGGTGAACCTGAGGTTTATGTCTATCTGTACTTTGCTGTTGAAGTGGCTGAATGGGAGCGCCTTGTGATTAGGTACTGCTGTGTATCATTTACTAATACTACCCCAAGGTGTGTCACAGGTATAGCAGAACTTAAAGCCACCTCCTATATATTATTGTATGTTGAGGAGCAACATAATCATACATTATGTAATCAGGGATTTACAAGGACACCTGACATATCAGTATTTTCCCTCTGTACAATTATTTCTGATAGGAGACAGTGGCCCAGTTCAAATGTAATAATTAGTGAGTGGTATAGATGAATCCTGGCTAATCATTCTCCAGGAGTATATTGCCTAATTGTTTCTATACCTCCATCCATCCTCTCATACAGTGGGGGCAATTAAATAGACCTCCGCACATGGCTTGGTTATTAAATGTGTAGCCTGTCCATCCCCAGACAAGCCATAGTCATAGGGCAACAGTAAACATGGTTAGCTTTTATGAAACATTAACTAAAGCCATAAACAGAAAGTCCATGGTTTGTTAAGCCACTCTGTTGTGGGAGTAAAACGGGAACTGATTGGGTTGTAGGTGCTACAATGCTGCTTGAGCATAATAGACCAAGGTTCATCCAGAATCCTGTCTTACCATTTCATCCAGTCCAGACAAGTTTATTTTCACTCTCAACAAGTCCATACATTTCCAAAAGAAGAATCATTCCTGCTATTCTCGCCATACTACACAGTATTTGTACACAGAATTTGAACTGGGTTCTGCCTGTGGCAAAGAATTCACTTAAAGGTGTAGATATTTAGATCCAATTCAGAATAAAGTGTTTTCAATAGGTTACACACTTCTCTTCTTTTTTGTTCTCAGTTGTGTCACCTACGTGAAAGGAACTCACACAAGCTATTTGGGTGGATCAGCCACTATTAAGGAATGTTTGTCTTTTCATGACAATATGCTTGTTAATAAAGTAAATAGTCCCACAGTCTATAGATGGATCAGAGTGAGATCGTGGAAAAACAACAGCATCTGCTAAAGCAATGGTTCTCAACCTGTGGGTCCCCAGATGTTTTGGCTTACAACTCCCAGTAATCCCAGCCAGGTCACCAGCTGTTACTGTTTCTGGGAGTTGAAAGCCAAAACATCTGGGGACCCACAGGTT